CCACACCCACACCCATTCCAACACCATTGGAAGTTACGAGGTCGATGAAGAATCGGAGCAATAAAAGAAGAATTTGCAGCCATTTTTTATTTTCTTCTTCGAACTCAGACTCAATGTGAAGTGATGCTTTACGTATGTTTGTAATTCTGAAAGAAAAGACTACGTCATGTTTTTCTCTGGGTTTATATCTTATGTCTCTCGTACAGATAGAAGAAAATACACTTAAAAAAGGAATAGTACGACGTTCATTAAGTGGGAAACATTTTTTCTCAGCATTTCTCGTTCTACCTCCTTTCACTCTCGTTGATGTTAATGTTACAGAAAGAAAAATAATATTTTTATGACAAAAACAAAGAAGAATGGAGAGTGGACATTTTTTTCTAATGAAAAAAAGACTTTCTTGTGTGTACACAAACGAGTTTTCTCTGTTCTTCTATTCTACGTTTCTATCACTTCGTCTTAGATACCTCCTATGCTATTTAATTTTTAAACATGCTGGCTTATATAAATTATTCATTGATATTATTTCTCAGAGAATGCAAGTTATTATATAAAGAAAATGTTCGATCGAATGATAATTATTTTTTATGAAATAAGATTGTATGTATTTATAAATTGACTACTCATGTAGAAAAGCATCATCAATAAAACATAGAAGATGAACAGGCAAAACTCGGAAAAGAATGTAACATATTTGCTTGTTGTGACGAGCAACAATGAGAAATTCTTTTAATTGAAATGTGTCATTTTTTCATTAGTTGAAAAACAAGATATTTTCCCCGAAAAATATCTGAAGCTGAGAAAAAAAATCGACCATTAACGATGAAATATTACTCTTCCTTGTAAAGAAGTCAGACAACATCTAAAATGTTTGATTTATCTTTCTTTCCGTTTCTGTTAAATGTGGTCGGTGTTTTGTAACTGCCGTTATATTCAAAGATAAAGAGTGTGAAGAAAATTCTAGAGGAAGAATTGCAGTACTACGGTCCACAGAAAGCCCCACAAAATGAAAAGAAGGACAAACCAAATTTTTCAAGCATTGCAAAACTTCTTCACGGTACGGGTGTGGATGTTGGCGTGGACGAGATTTAATTTAGACCTACACGCCACACTCACACCCATACCTCACACTTAAACCTACACCCACACCATTCGCACCCTGTATTCTGTATTGTATTTTCTCCTTTCGATTTCTATTAGAGAAAACACCATTTCCACTATCCAAATACAGCACACGACCAACAATCCATTTTAGAAAAAATTATAGATCAAAATTGAAGCGTTGTCAAGACAAGAAATAATTTTTTTGTATTTTTCCCTGTCATTATATTCATTTATTTTTTTTGTTTTTGGTTATTAAAAAATATTATTTGAAATAAATTTAATGAGTAAAACGATGGCTAGAATTCAAAAATAACTCGAAAATGTGTAAATTGAATCATCACTCAAAATAGTTTGAATTTAACAAGGTACACGTCGCAGAATTTCTTCTTATACGAAGCTATTGTCTTCTATATAATATCCATGCTGAAGTCATTACAGTCGATTTGTGTTTTGATTACTCAGATTGTTTCAATTCTATCTCGAAATGAACACTTTTCTGAGAAAAACGAAAAGTACAATTGGATAGGTTAAAATTTTTCTCTACCGACTAGTGTTTCTTAAAAGTTCAGCCTAATTAAATTGTTAAGAGGTCACCATCTGTAGTGCATTTGATATTGATTCGCTTAACTGATAATGCTTTTCTTTCTCTGTCTGTCTGCGTACTATAAATCATGACGAATATCTATCATATGCAATACATATAAGTTCAGTTGATATTCTTTCTAGAATAATACACAATTTCAAAGTAAATGATATTTATATCTGAACAAATTTCAGCATCCATCTTATCATTACCCACTGAACTAGTGTATCTGATTCTCGATAATCTTGATGATTTTACAATTTTATGTTCAATTCGTAATGTCTGCACACGATTGAATCAGATCATAGATACATATCCTCGATATCAGGTAAAATTCAATATTCTCATGAAGTCACATTTATCTTTTTGATCTGTAATATTACAACTTAGTTTGATAATAATCTTTCAGATTGATTGAATACCAGTCAAAACAGGAATCATGCGATTTTTTGCAAGCTATTTCACAAGATTTTATTGAATTGCCTATTTTTTTAGTTATTATTAATTATCCCGAATTCTACGCACATACAAAGCATTTGTACAAATATGTGATCTACACAAAACGGATAGAAGAAAGAAAAAGCACGATGAACAGAGAAATGCGGATAATTGGAGAGAAATTTATGAAAGAAGGAAAGACAAAACATGCACTAATACAATTCCTTCACTTTTTTTCTTTAGATTATTCTAAATCTGTGAGTTATAATGAATCTAAAATACTTCTTATTGATAGTATTTCACTAAAATACGAATATGATCAACTTCTATCATGAGTACGATTGGATGATTTTGTTAGTATTCCTTTTAGGTTATTTTGATAGCTGGTGTTCTTGAATAGAAGTAGGAGACAGGATATTTTCAAAAAATGTAGTTCCAAACCGAGCGTAATGCTTTATTATCTATTTCCATTTCATAGTTCTGGCATAAAAAGAAATATGCTTTTTTTTAGACTTTTAAGGTACAACAAAATCTGCTGCAAGTATAGCGTTCTAAACTAATTAGAAAAAAATGGATTGTTGCTTAGAAAATCGATTTCAGATTTGCTTATACTCATAGAACATTGGCAGTAGTATTTTTTTTTTTCATTGAGTTGTTTCTCAATGAGTTATATGAAAATTTTAACAAAATATTATTGAGATTATCGCTAACTTTATGTTCAAACATTAAAATCAAAGATAGATTTAGATTCATGATCAAAAAACAAACTATGCCATAGTTATAACAAATAAATCGACATTATTAATTTGATATGATCGATCGATCGATTCAATTCGCATTTGGATATTTTCTTGAATTTTCCTTCCTTGGAGATTTCATATGACAAATATTCGACGAAAACAATAGCCGATAGAAATAGTTATTAAAAAGCGATTAAATAGTTGAATCATCATTGAATTATGGACAACGGCAAATCAATAGAGGAAAAATTTATTCTGCCGTACGCGTTGATTACTTTTATCTAGACCTTTAGTTTCTCGACGGAATAATCATAGAAAACATTTACATTTAAGTGTTTTCTATGTTCCAGTGATTATATGGACAAACACTCATGAAAAATATGTTCAATAAAAAGCAAACGAATTTTTTTTTTCGAAATTAAGGGAAAAAATTGAAAACTGATTCATTTGAGTAAAAACAAACACATAACATATCTTACTCTATCGAATTACTGAAGCTTTATCGTCATTGTCAGTATAGGCCATGGATATTGCGAGATATGAAATAGATAAGTAAGCCATGGAACTGAATATCTCATTGAAAAATGGTGCTCGAAAAAGTCTAAGAATAAAAGTGTCTATACCCAAGGAACATGAGAAAAAAAAGCTATTGAGGATAATACTTATTTCTATTGAAAATATTACTCAATAAAGTCACATATGAATAAACATGACGAAATTAATAAATAAATCGAACTATAAGTCATCATCTTGTTCGAGATCAAATAGAAAAATCAGTTTATTCCAAATGAATTCCATTACTGATGATGACTATACATATGGGAGTCCAATAAACCAAGAAGCTAGAATTAATATGATTTAAAAATTTATTTTGTAGCTAACTGTTACAAAAACATTTCTGACAATGAATGATATTTGAAATGTTTGGTCAATATGCGAGAAATTTTAGAAACCTTTCAGACTTTATTAAGTACAATTTTATGTCGCACAAGACAATAATTAACTTCGTTAACTTATACTTTTTTAAGTCATACGCGTAAGCTTCAGATTTGTTTTTTCATTTTATCACAAAGCTCTTGGTTAAGAAATGCGAAATACTGAAAAGTACTAAAACATATTTTCACATGGGAAAAAAACTATTTTAATTATTAAAAAATTTATTTAGATAGATGAAATCTCCTCATATAGCATATTATGAAGGTGGTCTCACATACTATCTATATCACCATTTGAATCACGTTCATACTTCATAATGTCAAGAAAACAAAATTAAAAAAAGGAATATAAAAAAACGAACACTGAAAAATCAATTTTGCTTAAAGTTTTGTCATTGACTGTACTTTTCTTTCAATCTTGAAACGTTGTTCATTTTTGGACAGCTTTCAATGATATAAAATTCTCCAACGCATATTTATTTTCTATATCATAAATACAAAACAATTATTTTTAACTCGTACACATACTGTCTCAAGCACTTATATAGTGTAGATAAGGTACAAAGCAAAAAGACTATTTTTGCAATATCTGAATGATTTATGGTGAAGCAATACGCTGACCATCATTATCTTTTCATATCACCATCGGTATTTTACTTTTTCACACACACAGACAGTCATCACAGGAGATCTGTACAGAATCAGAACATGAACAAAGGAACATAACATCTAGTTGGTAGATTACAAAATAACACGATGAGATTCAATCTCTTTTTATCCATCATAAATACATCTGCGTTTTTTTTCATTCAGACACTCACCATACTCAAGTTTCGTAGCAAGCACATCGGAGCTCTTGAAGCACAACATTTGGCTAATGCAATACGAAATAACTATGTGAGAGTTCTTCTGTTCTTATCTATCATATATATATCTGCTAGTTTTTCATACAGGTACTCACCACACTAGATGTCAACTACGATTCAATTGAAGACAACGGAACAGATCATATAGCTGATGTATTACGAAATAACACGGTGAGACTCATTCCCTCTTTATCTTTCATATATCCATATGCTGTTCTTCTATTTAGACATTAACCACATTAAAGCTGCATAGCTTTTACACCGCAGCGCTCCAAATTCAGCATCTAGCTGATACACTACGAAATAATACAGTGAAAGCCAATCCTCCCATTATCTGTCAGATATGCATCTCCTGTTTTTTTATTTAGACCCTCACCACACTAGACCTAACCTACAATGGAATTGGAGACCATGGAGCACAACATATCGCTGATGTATTACGAAATAACACGGTGAACTTCACTCTCTCTCTCTCTCTCTATCCGTCATATACACATCTGCTATTTTTTCATTTAGACACTTACCACACTCACTCTTTCTAACAATGACATCAATGAACACGGAGCAAAACAGCTGTCCGATGCATTACGAAATAACACAGTAAGGCTCATTATGTTATATAGACATCTCTATTTTTTCCATTTAGACACTCACCACATTAGATCTTAGCTTCAATCTTCTCGAAAGGAGAGGAACATTTTATCTAGCTAATGCATTATAAGATAATACGGTGAGAGCCATTCTCTTCATCTGTTGTATACACATGTCTCTTGTTTCCATTCAGGCACTCACCACACTAGATCTTAGCTTCAATTGTATCGACATCTGCGGAGCACTTGATCTAGCTAACGCATTACAAGATAATATGGTGAGAGCAATTTTCTTTTCATCTGTTGTACATGTATGTCCCTTGTTTCCATTTAGACGCTCACCACACTAGATCTCAGCTTCAATGAAATCGACTGTCATGGAGCAGAATACCTGGCTAATGCATTACGAATTAACAAAGTGAGACCCATTTTGTCCTTCTCGGTCATAGATCAATGCCCTGTGTTTTTATTCAGACACTTGTCACACTCAATGTCGATGCCAATCCAATTGGAGGCCATGGAAAAGAATATCTGGCTGATATACTACGAAATAGAACGGTTAGAGTCGCTCTGTCATTATCTATCATATACACATCTCCTGTTTTTTTCATTCAGACATCGACTGCAGAACACGACGTACACAATGAAACGGACGACGATTCCTACTAATTCCTCTTAGAACAATAAATACAATATCTAGTTGATGGATTCTATCAGCCAGCACTCTTCATGGCCACGTTCAGGTTTATTGTTCTTGAACATATGTGCTAATATTGATTATCTCCTCCTGTTCGAGCACATATGAATCATAGTTGTGATGTTTCTCTTTTTGTTTTCTTTATTGTGCTAGTGTCTTATCATTGCTCGTGTATATCTACATTCATTTATAAAATAAAATCGTAACGAACGAGTTACTAGAATATATTAGTAGCATCTTTTTTATTTTTATCTGAGAAGCAGTTTTGTTTTAATGCGTATAGTTTTTGTCGCTGTTCTGATGGGCGGCAACTAGAAGATTTTTTTTCCTCGCAATTTATTTTTAATGACTTCTAAAATGATGAAAATAGAATGATAATTGCATTGAAAAAATTTGATGGAAAATTGAACCATTAGTTCATTTTAGATAAAATGTAATAAATAATTCAATAAACAGCTAATGAATAAAAACATTTTTGAAAAAAAATTGAGATCATTTATTGATATTATGCTGTTTTTCGAAAATAAATCTTGCATTTTGAATTGCAGAGATTTTTAATGAAAAAAAAATCATATTAAGAATCGTCTAATTTTTCCAAAATTGAGAACAATGAAGATTAACAAACAAAACAAAATGAATTTCTAAAAAGTCAAATAAACTCATTAGATTTTGGCCTTCTAATAGAGTTTTCTTGGATATTTAAGTCAAGAAGTAAAATAGAAAAACGATGATTTTATGTATATGAAATCTTCTTTTTGAACATTCAACTAAAATGATGAAATTTCACTTTTTACAAAAACATTCGAAAAATAATCAGATTATTTTGATGTCAAATAGATCAATATTATTCGGACTGAATAGATGCTTTTGTTTGTAAAGGTTTAATCATCTAAATTGACTCAAAAACGTTTAAACTCAATCTTGATAAAACGAAACATATTTTTTCATATCGAACAATACCCATGGGTCTTTGTTTCGATGATTGAGAAAAATAAGTCTTAAGTTTTAATCTCACACATCGAATCATGACGAATTAATCTAGAATGTGCACGTGAGTAAGGTTCTTCTCTTTGTCATCCACATTATATACGAAAACGACTAAGTAGTACCGAGATCACTTAGGAACTGATGACTGCTCGGGAGGAATCTCTTCCATCGACCCGTGCTTGCTCGATTGATCAATGGTTTGAATAACATTCAGTCATTTTCGAATAACAAGCCTCATCAATGCTTGATTTTCGACATGTCCGAATTGTGGGTGTGCATAATAGTCAACACCTTTTTCTCACGTAGTGCAAAGGAAGCTATTGATTCGAACGAGTGGCATTTCGTCCGTAAAATGCTCGCTCTACACGATGGTATAGATTAAACATCCCCCCGAATGTACTTGAAGACTAGTTGCACGAACTTTTGGGACAACCTAATAACTGGAATTGGATTGTTCGACATTTCAATTAAGTAATGATCATTATCTAGTAGAAGAAAACGATCGGCAACAAGAGGCCATAGGGAAAGGGAGAGAGTACAGCTTAGTGCATCTTTAAATCGTTCGATATCCAATTCGGCTGGATAGACGAATACTTGGTCGGCACATGCAATAGTCCATAGATCAATACTGACAAGTTCAATTCGATGATTATTACCTGTTGGTGTTAATGATACGGACAGAGAGGAAAATATCAGATGATATTGTATAGCTATGGTTAGAAAGAAAAAAAAGAATAAGTAAAACTTTTGAATTCTGCTTTCATTCGTTATAACTTTGCATGTTTATGGGATCTGAATACAGCTACTATCCATTTAGTTCACCTTGATTCAATATGCTATTATGTTAGGATAGTATGTAGAAGTACAAAATCGTCATTTTTTTCTCGCACGATAAAAATTGTATTTACCAAAATGTCATTTATGTTTATCGATTCTCTTGTTTCCATCGCTGCTTCTAAGAGAAAATCAACAAAATATACTTTACTGTCTTTTAATAGAATTAATGTCGTGAAGAGTATACATATGCATCAAGTTGATAGACATCCATTTTATTGTTCTAATAAAAAAATAAGATTAGGAAAATTAAGATCTAGTTTCTAACATCTGAATCCTTTGAAATAATAAACACAATTATAATTTTACTCGACTAATAATATCATTTGATATATGATACGAATGAATAATGTGATTGTTTAGAAACAAATATATATTCATGATCGTTTTTCATGTTTATTAGAAAAATAAAAATGATATACAAGAGTAACAAATATTTCAATTAATTCTACCACCATAAATACAATTTTCGATTAATAACTTTTATAATATAATCATGAAGAAGTTTTTCCAACTTAATCATACTTCTTAGTTTGATCACCAAATCATAACGCTGCTTTGAAATACATAATGTTGATAGATAACGAGTATTGATATTAGATTTTGATAATAGAAATCGTACTACTGGTTTCAAAACTTCTTTAAATAAATTAATTGTAAGATATTTCATTCGTGGAAAAAGAGTAGTAAGTAATTGAATTTTTTCTAATGTTATTTCTTTACTGATTGTTACATTGGTCACAAAATTCATATTGAATACTATTCGAAATGTTTCATTTTGTTGAATCAATATAGAATTAGTTCGATAAAGTAATATAGAATCTAATTTTAATGTATGAATATTTTTTGTGAAATGTAAAAGTTCAATTATTTGTTCGAAAGGAAATCGATGACATTCAAAATTTAATTTAGTAAATTGTTTTAATTGAATAAAACGATTAAGATTGGTTATAATTGATTCACGAGATACATCAAAAGTTTCAGCAAATATCAAATCAGTAATATTTGAAAAATTATTAACAAATTCTTTTATCATCTCTGTATTATGAATATAAATATGATGAATTGGATCTTTATTAATATCAAAACGAGATGACCATATGTTTTTCATCGGTACTTTATATAACATATAATCTTTTCTTCTGAAAAGAAAAATCGACAAATAAATATATTATAATAGATAAATCATTTTTCTTATTCTTTTTTACTAATATGGATTTATTGAATAGAAGATAGCAGCATTAGACCATGTTATATCATGATACTGAAAATCAAAGAACCATTGATGTTGTATCCAAAATGATGAATTGAACTTATTGATCAGAGTTTCAAATGCTTGACGTTGATCATTCGAACTTAATATTCGATATGTATGTTGAAAATCAAAGACACACAGGTTTGGTAAACATGTTGAAATTAATCGTTGCCATCCATCAGCATTTAAATATTCCGTTTGATTATGATTAACGGAAAATATAATACAGAATACTCTAATACGTAAAATTTGTACTTGATGAAAATAATTTGCCACTAATACTTCAAAATCCTTAAAACTAACATAATCCAATTCAATAGAAACACTGGTTAAATACGTTAAATTTATCGAATTCTTTTGTGTTCGATTGTATGTAGATTCTTCTAGATGACCAATAGATAAACGACGTAGTTGAGGAACATAGGACAATAAACTATCAAGTTGATCAATAGAAATATCATTATTAATAATAAGATGTTCGATTGAGCTAAATTTATCTGTTGCAATAGATAATGATCGAGAATGTTGCTTCATTTCAATTGATATTTGACAATATTTCAATGCAGATAAACGAAATATTTTATAATAGATATCATTTGGATTCTTAATACTATCAATAGATATAATAATCAATGAAGATAAAATCGGTAAAGAAGATAAATAATTTAAAATTTCTTCAATATATTTAGCTTCAATATCAATTAATGTAAGTGCTTGAAGTCGAATTAAATTTGTCATTAAAGGAAATAATAACAAACACATATCAGCAGTGAATGGATTCGATAAACGTAGTGAATTAATTCGATTAATATGGGGTTTAATAATATGTTTTACATAAGATTCAAATTTTGATTTTGATATCGATGAAATATTAATTTTAATTAAAAGATTTGTATGAAGAAAAAGATTTCGAAATCGTTGATTAAGATCATAAAAAGCTTGAAATGTATGATGAAAATCCAGAAATCCAAAAATTTCATAAATAAGTTCATTTGAAAGATCTTCAAATTAGTAATATATTCTTTACTTAAACTAAAAAACAAGAAACAGAAATTAACAAAAAAAAATCTTTTATTTTAGACTAACCAATTCGTTTCGACTGTTGTTTCTAGAAAAAAAAACAAAAGATATAATCATCAAAAAACAAAAATAAATACGACTTTTACTGTTAATTTTTTTTCGTTTGTTATCATTATAATCATGAATAATATTATTTCGTGACCGTTTATTTTGTTCCATATGAAAAATCAATTCAATAAATCTTACTATTAAGGAGGGCGTGGGTGAGTGTGGGTGTGGGTGGGGTGGGTGTGGGTGTGAGTGGGTGTAGGTGTCAGTATGGGTGTGGATGAATAGAACACCCACACCCACCCACACCCACACCCCACCCACACCACACTCACCCATACCCACACCCACACACCCACATCCATTTCAGGATTGCAACGTAAGAATAGATAAAAGCAAATTTCGTCATAACAGACATTCTGTCAGAAAATGTGATGTAATTTACGTTTTTCGCAATATTCTACTTTATTGCGAAAGGGAATATAATGCAGACCTGTTTGATTTAACTATTTGACAGATGATTTCGATCTCATCATGGATGAATGAATGACAGAGTGAGAAATGTTAATTCTTTCTTGTCTGTGGCTAAATCTGACGGTTGAGAAGGATAATTCGCTCAATAACATCAATCTTGTGACCCCTAGTTCACATAGGAAAAGTTTGAACCAAATCCAACAAACAAGCCTTGATTACGAATTAGAGTGTGTGCCATTACGTTATATATTCAGCGAACATTAAAAAAGTTATTGTTATGATAAAGACTAGATTGAGATTGCTGATTTAAAGTCTACACTAGATAGGGTTTAAGTCGATTTAAAATCGGTTTCTAAATGCCTCATAGTTCAAGAGAACCAAATTTTTATAAAATGGTCCCTATAGGAACCAAAGGGTAAGAAAGGGTTAAAGAAAGACAACAATAGAGCAAAAGAAGTAAATAAAAGCAATGTGGTCAACGAGTATCTTGCTGTCAATGGTACTTAGATAAGTAGTATCCTCTAGTATATTTACATTGCGTATATGCAGAGATTATCAAATGTAACATTATAAGTTTGAATTGAAAAAATGACTGATAAGAGAAGAATTCATCTTTTATTATCAATACGCCTGTAGCATTGTATTGAACTAACCCAATTGAAGATGAAATGGCCATAGTATAGTGATCATGCACAGCTCTATATTGTGTGCACAACTATAAATATATCCCTGACTTCATCAATAATTTGAAAAGAATCGTGGAGAAATCCTGTGGAAGGAATGATTCGTTGACAGCAGACAGGAAATAGAGTAGAACTAGCGTGTGAATTGATAGGACAGTAGACATATTACGTCACGTTGTGGAGAAACGCTGTTTGCGAGCAAAATATATGCAATTCCACTATAACAAATCTTTTACAAGTAGACGTTGAGTGTATTGGCTTTCTCGTATCATATCGCTAATTTCTCACTGGCCAATTTCTAGGTATGATCATGACCATGCCACAGATCTATGATGCTCGACAATAGTTGAGTGTGGGTGTGGATTTGTAAATGGGTGTGCGGAGTATGAGTGGGGTGAGTGTGGGTGTGTATGAAAGTAGCTAGCCCCGCACCCACACCCCACGCTCACACTCACACCCCCATACCCACACCCACACCCCACACCCACACCCTACACACACACCCACATACCCACACCCACCCACACCCACACCCACCCACACCCACACCCACACCCACACCCACATCCATACCTACACCCACACCAAGCCACCCACACTCCCACATCCACACCCACACCCACACCTGCTTCGGCCCAACGTGAGGTCGAATCAGCCATCAGTGTAACATTATAACCCATATCACGAAAATATTCCGACAATGTTATACTTGAAAATAAGTAAACTCGATAGGTAAAA